TATTGTGTGTGGCCTGCTCAGCCCGCCAGGGGGCGGGGCTGGCTGGCATGTGGTGCTGGGGATTGAACCGCGGTCCCTGTACTTTGTTTAGCTTAGCTTGTTCTAAGTAGGTGCTTTAGACCACTGAGCCATCTCACCAGCCCATAAGCTTGTTCTAAGTAGGTGCTTTAGACCACTGAGCCATCTCACCAGCCCCAAAGCTGAGGTACTTTTTGACTTTTTTTTTTTTAATTTTAGTACAGGGTCTTACAGGGTCTCACTACACAGATCAGACTCATAGTGATCCTCCTATTTTCAGCCTCCCAAGTGCTGGGATTATAGGCATGTGCCACCAAGCCCAGTCTCAGTCACCATCTCAGCATGCCCCAGGGGCGGGGCAGGGCAGAGCCAGCAAGGCACTTGGGGGATGAACCCTGGTCACTGTGTCTGCCTAAGCAGGCGCTTTAGTCCACTGAGCTATTTGGCCAGCCCTTGACTTATAGTCCTTTTAAATCATAAAGCAGATTTTTTCATTACAGAAAAACTAGTTCCAATTTTTCTCCCCCAAAGCAGGTTAGGGCTGGGGAGATGGCTCATAGTCTTAAGTGCCTGCCTGGCAAGCGCAAGCACCTGGGATTGATCCCTGTACCTACCACTGAAACCAGGCATGGTGCACACCTGTAATCTCAGTGCTATGGAAACTGAGGCAGGAAGATCACTACCAGTCCAAGCTGTGCTGTATCAAATAAATGATTTTTAATAAAATTTTAAAAAGCAGTTTATGGTGGGTATGAACTTTTCTTCTAGCTTTATTAACATTAATTGCAAACAACTAGATTATTTAGATAAATGAAGTAATCTGAAGACATCAAAAAAGCAACACTGACTTCCAAACATTCTGTCTATTACAGCAGAAGTCATCTGACACAGGCTGAGATGCAACTGCAAAACATCTAAGTATATAGCTTCTCTACCATCTCAATTTGTATCGAACGGAGTACTGTTTAGTAGCTCAAAAGATAACAATGTATAATGTACTAATTATTGAAACTGTCCTATTAATCAGCTTTGAAACTGTCTCATTGATATTTGTTTTTCAATAAATAAAATAAAATAAAGGACTGTCTCAACTACAAATACATGAAAATTATATAGATTTAATTTAAATATGTCTTTTCCCAAATATAGACATCCATCAATTATGTATATAGAAAAACAGGAGAAAAAAACATAGGACTATGAACCCCAGATAAACTGTAACACAGGCATCTGAGGCAAAGGATTAAAATTCATCTAAACACTGGCTGAAGTTTCTACACTAGTAATAAAGAATCAGAATAGGACAGCGCATGAGCCATCCCACAGAAACAAAGTGAGGGCTGGGGAGAAAGCTTGGTGACATAAGTGCCTGCCTGGCAAGTGCAAGGTCCTGAGTTCCATCCCCGGTCCAAAAAAAAAAAAAAAGAGAGAGAGAGAGAGAGAGAGAGAAAGAAAAAACAGAACCAAAATGAAAGAGTGCCTAGAGCTGGGGAGACAGCTCAACAACATAAACACCTGCTTGACAAGCACAAGGTCCTGAGTTTGATCCCCAGTACTACACACACACAAAAGAGTCCTTAAAAAGGGGGGGG